GGGGGGGGGGGGGTCGGTTGGACCCCCCTTGCCGTTTGGCCCCTGATCGAGCTAGAGCTTCGCGGAAAAAACGAGCGTGTTGCCCGTGACGAGAGGAAGCCGATGATACCCAATTTTAAGGTCCTAGGTCATTGGGTGACCTTCCAGGTCAGGTCAATGACCCAAAGTCGGGAAAATCGGGACCTGTTAGAAAGTCGTAAAGTGTGTCTGCTAAGGGGTTTTTCGGGGTGCTGATCACGAATATCGTGTTAGTTTTGATCACAGATGATGTCTTAAAGCATTTAGACCAGGTCGGGTCAGGTCAGGTCAGGTCAACCAGTAGGCATCGTGACGGGTATTCGTAGTACGTGTGCCTCTGACAGCTTCGTAACATGTTACGAAGGCACCAAAAATACTTCGTAAATGTTCAAATGGTTGCTAAATTCGAATTCAGCTCCAAAAACTAGCCTAGAAACATGTACAGCTCGAAAAAGTGAGCCGAGGTCACCCGAGGTCACCAAAGGTCAATGACCAGACCTGACCTTCAGGTGACCTTGACACCCACCCTAATGCATGGAAGCAACATCAAATCACATGTTTGAACGTTTGAAACCACGAAAAGCTTGCAAACGCGCGGCTAATGCGAGCCGACATACGCAGAATCGCGATTCCGGCCAAACATGGTCTGGGAAAAGAGGTCACAGGTCAAAGGTCATTTGGGTCAGGGTCATGAAATTTTCAGGGTAGGTGTAAAATTGATCAATGTGAGGGTACTGAAAGTTTCGTCGCGATCAACCGCTTTTTACGCGAGTTATTCGCGAAAAACCATGGGGGGGGGGTCCATCCGACCCCCCCCCCCCTACACATGCGAGGGTTAAAAGAGATAAAAGTATCCGACATGAAATCCACCTGACCTGAGGATCCTGGCTATGAAATCATTTGCCTGGGCCGCCAGTCTGGTAAAAGTTCCTTTCTTTACCATCGAGACACGAGCAAAGGGCATATTAAACAACTGGACGTTCCGTGTCGGACGACGTGGTACAGGGACCCCTGGTGCTTCTGTAGTTGTACACATGTATTACCAACTTACAATTGTCCTATTATTTGCTAGCTGGTAGCCATTGGAGAAAGAGAATGTAGAGCAAAGGATAAGGAATAACACGCGTTTGCTCCTAGGATGAAGATTATGCATAATTCCTCTTACCGTCATAGATATTATTCCAAAACTAGAATCGCGCTATTTTTCTGTGTTGGCTGCCTCCCTAGATCCCGTCCTTGGTATCGCCACTTGCTTGCGCTCCCTCTACGTGAATGAAAGTCACGTGACTACTACGCGTTTGCGCTCAGTACTAACAGCAACACACCATAGCCCCAGGGCCAGTCCGTAGCGGGGAGGGGTAGAACGCCAGAGCTCCAGCACAGTGGAGGTGGTAGTAGCCCGTATCATAAAAATGCTGGCGTACGCAAAACGACCAATGCCGCAGTATAAGTTAAAGGTAAAGTTTTCCTTAACCCTCGCCCGCACATGCCATTTTCCCATCCTAGAACGCACATGGGGGGGGGGGGTGGTTGCCACCCCCCCGCGCCATTTCGTTCCTGTTGGAGATAGAGCTTAGCGGTAAGACCAAAAAGATTCTTTGGGAAGAGACGAATCCAATGATACCCAGTTTTACCTTCTCAGGTCAGTCATTGACTTTCCAGGTCAGGTCAAACTAAAAAAATGTTGCTGTTTTGGGTCACCGTTGGATATCAAGTGCGCTGCTTATCAAATACCGATGACGATGCTGTTTTCTGGTGCCAAGCCAGCTAGAAACTCTTTGTCACACTACCCGACCAGATTTTTGCTGCTGAGGTCATTTCAGGTCAAGTTAGGTCAAGGTCAATTATATGTGTTTGTATGTCTGTGTGTGTCTGTGTGTATACTGATGTGTGCACCGATTGTTTTTGTGTCCATATTACATGAAATCATGATCTGAGAAGCTTTTACCAAAAATGCAGTCAAAAAACTTCACAAAAAGTAAATTCAGCTTGCCTAAAACGCAATTATCTTAGATGACCTAGGTTGACCTTGACCCTGCCCTTGACCCCTGTACATCGTCGAACAACATGTTCCATGATAGGTGGGAGGTAAGACTGGCAAAAAAGGCCGAAATCAAGGTGTCAAAAGCTCACAAGGCCCATGGCAAACGCAAGATGTTGAGAATTGGCCATTTGGGTCATGACATGACCTGAAAAACAAGGTCATATCTCCAAAACTAAAAATCCCAGAAACTTAAAATTTTCAGTGGACATCAAGAAAGGATAGAGGAGCAGTTATACGAAAAATCAGCCTTCTAGCTCTAAAAATGTCGAGTGCAGAGCAGAAAGACTACCTGGGGGGGACCCCCCCATGTACGGCCGAGGGTTAAAAACATACAGAACTCTATAAGGTACGGCCCGAGAAAAGCTAGCTTTAAGAAACACGCGGAGGTTACTTTCCTTTCCTGGGGGGGGGGGGGGGTGGCAACCACCCCCCCCCCCATGTGCGGGCGAGGGTTAGTCATTGTTGAGTAAGAAATTGCAATGCTTATTGGATATAACAAAACGGTGTCCAAGGTCCTGGAAAGATTGCAAAGCATAGGTACTAGGGAGCGTAAAAATTGTGATACAGGCCATGACCTTTCACCTTGCCTCCGGGGAGGACCGCTCAGGAATTCACATACCGAACGAATCGAGGCCTCATAGTTGGATGACATAGCGGCAGACGAGATGGATAAACCGTCGCCAGACCTTTCGTTTGCCTATGTTTCCAGACAACGGGCATGGGGCAAGTGAGGGTTGTTTTGAACCCACTCACCAATTATCTCCTTTTATATATAGCTTAGCCCTCGCCCTGGCAGGGGGATGCAACCCCCCCCCCCCCCGCCTAAGGCTTTTCAAAGACAGCGTAAAGACGGAAATTTGGCACAGCCTATGGGGCAACCTTTGTACATATGACCTGAAAATTTCAGGTCCTGGTGACCTTGGGTCAGGTCACAGGTCAGAAAAACCGTTACAAGGTCATGGTCAAATTTCAATTTTCTTTATGCACCTGTCTAACCTACAGTTTTGAACTGATTTCCTTCAAACTTTCAGGATGTGCTAAGTTCACCGAGTTGTATAACATATTGTTCGGGTTTGTTGATGTCATTGACCTGAGGTCAGTTAGAGGTCATTACGTCACGTCATGATGTTAAGCCTATGGGAAAATATTCAATTCGGAAAATACTGGAGATATCCGCTTCGTTCTATCACCTTTGTGCTTTGAAACCACAGTACCTACTTAACAGCATGTCACTTTGTCTGATCGTCACAAGATGTAACGAATAGTGTCACAGCCACACCTACAATAGTTCGTAACCCGCGAGGCGCGAGCAGTAGAGTTCAAGCCAGCATGGGCCTAAGGCTTGATGTTATTTTTGTTGTGCATATAAGCTTCTAATAGCTCCTCAATCAAGAGCGGCTTCTCTCAAGATTCATTTATTTGAATTGACGCTTATAATATGGTGCAATAAGTTGATGTGTTTCAGCTCTATTGTATGTAAGAAACTGCTATCAGAGGAAAACTAAGTGCTTCGGCACTTAAAAGCCAAAAGATATTTAACCCGCGCATGACTGAGGGGCCTCCTCTTTTTTCGGTCACATCTTCTAAACCGTTTGACGGATCAAAACGAAACTTGCGGCACCCTCCGCGGCATTAATTTGACACCTTGTGTTAAAATTTCAACTTTTTAGCTAGCACAGTTTGGCTGGAAATGACGTCAGAGTGACGTCATGTCTAGAGATGCCACAAATTTCCAATTTCATTACCCGCCCCGCCCCGCAGCTACCCCTTGCCCAACCATAACTACCCGCAAGCTGATTTTAGCTGAGCCGAACCCGCAAAAACCCGCAATTTAAAAATCTGTTTTTGCAAGAAAAAATACAGCCGGGTCAATCCTAGAGCTATAGAAATCTTACTTGCTTCATTGCTGTTCAGAAAAAAGACAGCCAGACAAATAGTAAGGACTTGAAATTGCTATGCTAAGTCCTCAGGATGTGCACACTGGATAGTGGAAAATGAATAATGCATCAATGCATTTGAAATTCTTTTCTGAAAAGAGTTCAATAAAATCTTTCTCTCACCTAACCCTTCAGCATTGGCTGAGGATTAAAATCAGGCGCGCACACAGGATTTTTGATGGGGGGGGGGGCACGACCTTCGAACTGGGCCCCCCATGCCGAAGGGCCCCCCCCCAAAAAAAAATACGGCCCACGGGGCTATATTTCGGTTGGTTTGAAGCTTGAGCAATTGGTTTGTCAATGCATGGTAAAACAATTATTTCGGTACCAGCTTAATTTTCAAAACATATATATTTTTACACTAGGCTGTTTTTTTTTTTCTCAAATGCGACTCAGAGCCGGTACATATACCTAATCATCTAATTTATTACGTAAAACATTTCATTAATAAACATTTTTGCAGGTCCCTCAGAAATCAGCCCCGGGAAGCGACTGACTGCCGGCCGGCCGACCGGCCCCGGGTGGCTAGGGGCCGGTCACTGTTTGGCCCGGATGTGTAGGAGCGGGAACAGCACTCTTTTTTCACGTATATTCGCATATTTTTTAGGCACATCGACATGAAATGTCATTATATCTGATACGATGCGGGATCACAGACTAGAGATCCAGCCTATAACCTATATTTAATGCTTAACCAATGAATCAAATCAACAGGACTATGTACGATGCATGTCGGACACGTACCCAGAATTTCGCCCAAGAGGGGGTATGTATGTATGTATGTATTTATTTGAACGCCCACAGGTATGACACCCATTTACAGACGCAGTCCAATACTAAAACCTATAAATACATGTGCTCATGGGTTGTCAAATATAGGTACGTATAGTCATGTCAGAGAGATTAAGAAGGCTCTAAGAGACTTCATAAAAGTTCCTCGACTGGCGAATAGGTCCGCAGATGCCACATGTTCGTACATGCCGTTCACTTGTCTCGGTAAGCGACAAAACATTCCGGCCCTTATCGTTTCCACCCTTGCGGTGGGTTCGTGCAGTATCGCCCGTCCTCGAGTCCGCCTACATGGAACACACAATCCAAACATCCCAACAATATCGGTGGACCTAATGCGACCAGAGAACACCGAATGAAGAAAAGTGAGATCGCGCTGCACCAACCTTGCCCGAATACAACTCACACCAAAATGAGACAGAAGCTGATGGTAATCGAGAGACTGAGAGGGCCGTGTGGAATGAGTTGCCAGCCAGATGAGCATCTTATGCTGGATCCGTTCCAGACGCTGTATATGTGTTTTTGAGGCCCCAGCCCATACTATGCTACCGAATTATATCACAGAGCGAACGTGGGCATTAAAAGCAGTGATAAGAGGCTCAGGTCGAAACCGTCTCCCCCTCGCAGCACGAGAGGTCTGCAGCGAGCGCAAGTACACGCCAAGCGCCCGGTTCGCACTCCTGACGACGCCGTCGACGTGAGGCCCAAAAGTTAATTTTGAGTCCATGAGCACACCCAGATCGCGCATCACAGATACACGATCTAAGGTGATCCCATGGATGGAGTAGTCGAAATGAACTGGTTTAGTGCGGAGAGTGAATGTAATCTGTTTACTGACACTGACCTAGAGTAACTGTATATTGCACGGGCCCGTGTGCCCCCCCCCCTTGTGTGCGCCCTTGATTAAAATTTCACTCTGGCTCCCTCTCAATGTTAGGCTTCTGGAATGATATTGCTATCAAAATGAATGTTGATATAAAAAGATAGGTATGCGATTTCCAATTAAAAATAAATAGTGACACGGTGAATAATGAGTATCCAGTCGATCTACACATAAAACAAATCATGCAAAATCCCAGCAAAAACCAACCAACCACCAATGAACCACGCATTTCTAAGAAACCATATTGCCCGTAACTGTATATTGCACGTGCACACACATCCCTCACATGACGAACACGTACGACCATTGATGTGCACAAGCGCTTATATGTCCTCTGATGCTAACAATGAAAAGACAAATTATTTTGTTGAAGAAAAATGGCATTTGATGCAAACAAACAAACAAGCAAGCAAACAAACAAACAAATTCAAACAAACAAACAAACAAAACAAGTAAAATGATGCGCAAAAAAACTAAAAAGAAAAACTACTACTCAGTATACTTGTACTACAGCCCTCGTCCCATTAGGTGGCACATGGCATGAATATTTTAGGTTTTCTTGTGTTCGAAAAATATAAAGGCTAGCCCATAGCTTATCTATATGTTTAAGTTACTTGCAAAGTTGAAGGCAATGTTACTCGGAAAATATTGCCCCAAACTGCGTCATGCTCGACACCAATGATAAACCCATCATTGGACTTAAATTCCGTCCAGCTTGGCCTAAATAGGGAAAAGTTGGTATTCGGCCCGAATACAAACATTTTCCTTCCACGACACCTGCTAAGACATCCCTATCATATATCGTGCATAAGGTATGCTACGAGCACAGTCCTCAATGCAAAAACTACATGAGCAAATGGCAAGCTTAATCAAGTATGTAGGTGAATCACAGATCTCAAAATGGCTATACAAAATGCATGCCTCCAAAGAGGTCCCAGTGTACCCTAGACTCTAGAGCCATGAAGCATGATTAGGTGCACCACCTACGTAGGCAGCAGGTGAGGATGTAAGTCTGCCGGCAGTCGTGGTGGCCTCACGCCAGAGGCCCCAGGTAAGGCAGCGCTGTCTCTGTAACCAGCTGCCGCGTCTGTATCCATCAGTGTCGGCGGCGGCCGCTGGCACTGGAGGCAGTGACGGCCCCGGGAGCGGGTGGGGAGGAGCTCAGACCGTGCTCGACATAGTGGACGGCCGAGAGGGCCGCCAGCAGCGCCAGCAACCGGTCCTGGTCGGCACCGGGCAGCGCGGCGAGTGCGCGCACCCTCCAGAACGCCGCGTACCGCGGCCGGCCGCCGCTGGGGAGCGCTCACCGGCTGGCTCCGAGTGGAGACCCAAGGCGGCTTCAGGAGCTGACTGTATGGAGGAGTGCGCCGTGCTGTCAGCCTCTTCGAGCGCGCGACCTGCGCCAGTCAATGGGAATCCCTCGGCAACGTCCACTGATTGACGGGAGAAGCTGGCGGGTCCGATGCCAGGCGTCAACTCAGTCACGGCAGCCGTGTCAGTAGCTGCCGCAGGAGAAACGCCAGGGGCGGACATGGCGTCAGTCGTCCTGTATGAGCCTGGCAGTGGTGAGATCTGAACAGTATAGGCAGCTCCGGCAGCCTTGTCACCTTTAGCGCCGCGAACTGGCCCAGATAAGAATGTCTCACCGGAAAACGGTGCCTCAGGTAAATAGAGGGAATCGATAGCAGTGGAGTGATGGGCTGGAGGCAAAGGCTCAACGGAAGTCCCAGTATCGATGCTTGAGGATCGAAGCTCCGTGGCTCGCACAGCTTTAGAAACATCGGCTAGTGCAGTGTGCACGACGGCAGGCACATTGGCAGCTTCAGCCGCAGTTACGTGCTTAGCAATTTGATTGTCTCCGAAATCAGCCAGATGTCTGTCAACTGCAGCAGCTCCATTGCCGGCCACAGATACAGATCCAGCAGAAGATCCAGTCGCACCGTCTCCATAAGACGCCACAGGCGTGCCAGAAAACATTGTTTGAGTGAAGTGGACAGCTGCGAGAGCAGCTAAGAACGCAACGTAGGTATTTTCATCCATACCAGTAACGGCATGGAGATGCCTTATATCCGAGAGTGAAGGCAGCTCTGCATCTTGAGTAAAATCCTCAACAGAAGGGCCTTGCTCATGAAGCATGGCCTCCGTCTTTAAATCAGCGTTGGTGGTGGGAGTCGTGTTAGGCGAGGAAGCAGCCTCAGCAGTAGTAGCAATAGCAGGAAAGCCAGTTTCAGGCGAAGGCACCGCAGAAAACGGAGCAATGGGTTCGGAAAAAGAGAGGTTATTGAAGGGAGCAGACTCCATTGCTGGTAGCAAAGCGGCTTCCACATACGGAACAGATCGATCAGGAATAAAACCACTAGCTAGAGGAACAGCGCCTGCAGCAAGGCCTGCATAAATAGATGGAAAGGTGTTGTCAAGAGTGAGCCCATCAGCAGAAGTGACATCAGCGTATGGAGCAGAATCACTAATCGAGAGAGTTCCATTGGGGATGATAGCACCAACAGCGACATCCCGAACAGATGGGACCGCTTCTTTCGCAGCAACGGGCTCGGCTGGGATACGGAAGTAGGATTCACTGGCGGAAGTGGCTTCAGTGGAAACAGCATCACCGACATCGGCAGCCGACCCATGGTCGGGGGAGAAGCCATCAGACGCACTCTCGCCAATGGAAGCAGATTCAGACTGATTGACTTCAGCGGAAGGAAATTCTTCACCAGGCACAAAGTCATAGTAATTCATATGAAATACAGTGGGTATGCTTTGGTCAAACGCAAAGGATTGAGAATAAAATGAAGAGTCGACACTGGGGTTGCCAGGGTGAACAACGGGAAACGTTTCACGTTTAGCATCACCGATTTTTAAAGGGGACGCAATTTTATCATTATGTGGGTGTTGTGCATTTGTGAATATATTATCGGTAGGCTTGTTTACCGCCTGGTCAGGTTCTTCATCGGCTCTAGCAGCTGTTGGTATTCGGGCGGAGGGAACAGTTTCCAAAACGGAAGCACGAGTAGTATGGGAGGCATCATCCAGAGTGAAGTACGTACCGAGTCGGATTTTGGGTTGTTCCATGGCCTTGGCTGCTTGATGCAAATCCCCAACGCTGATGATGTCCTTGTCGAAACTTCCCAAGGATATGTCTTTAGAAGCATCAGGCTTTGTTACCTCGTGGTCAGGTGAAGGCTGCACAGCGGGAAAATATCCGACACTCGGTGAAATGTCAACATAAAAGGCTGCTTCGGTGACGTTCATAAAACTGTCACTTTCACAGTCATCGTCTTCAAAAATAGCCTTATCAGTAACAAACCCATCTGCAGTGAGAGCGATTTCAGGACTCACTTCTGACTGGGAGTGACTGCCCCCTGCAGCCAAAGCGTCCAATGTAACGGAGGTTTCAGTGGCGGCCACATCTTTAGTAGCTGTAACGGCCCTTGTAAAAGACGGGACCTGAGTAGGTGAAATGGTTTGAGCACTAGAGCTGGCTTCAGCAGGCGGTCCCTTGACGGCGGTGGTCTCCCCGGCGCCTGCGGTGCTATTTGCAGGAGCGCTCCGTTCAGTGGTGTCCACCTGACCTGGAGGCGTGTTAGCACTAGCTAGTGCTTCATGATGGGTGGGCCCACCAGTCGACCGGGCGGTCCCCGCCTCCACCGACCCACTGGTAGCGGGGGCCGCGGCAGCGAGCACTCCACCACCAGACGCGGAGCCGGCGCGGCTTCCACCAGCGCCAGGGGCCGCGGCCGCAGTGGAGGCCGACACTGCAGAGGCATGTGCGCCGCCAGAGCGCTGCTGCGGCACGGCGGCGGGACCCGCGACACCGCCGAGCTCCGGCGGCCGGCGGCGCCCGGAGGCGGACGGGTCGGCCGCGCGCCCTCTCGGCCGGGGCAGTGTCGGCGGCCGGTTGTTGCGGTACTCGGTTGCACTGTGCAGCCGTCGGTCTCTGCGGGCGGCGGGCGGCGCCGCGCTCCGGGGCGCTCCGTCACTGTGCGCTCGGAATCCCCGCTCGTCGGCTGTCCAGGTGACACTGACCGCTCTGCCGTCGGGCGCCAGGTATGAGTAGTGGCCGCGCATCACGGTGCCGACGCCATCCCCGATCCGCCTCTGGTGTCCCACCGCGCCCACGGACGTGCCGTCGCCGGTGCTGTAGACGTAGCTGAAGTTGGCAGCGTCCCGCTCTGAGGTCTGCGCGGCGGTGGGCGCAGCGTTTGACCCCGGACCCCGATATCGGGATGAGCTCCGCCGGGCTCCCTGTGGCCCGTCGCGCGCCTGTCGCGGCGCAACTGCGGCGCCGGCGGCGCAGCACAACAGGGCGGCCGCTACGAGCAGCCTCATGTCGGCCCCACCGGGCGACCAGGCCACTCGGAACCCTGATCCAGAAATGACCGATGCCCGTTTTACCGCGCGCCGCTTATATATTTGTTGCTTGCGTGCTGATAATCGGTACCGATCTTCCAGCTCGGATTTCGGCGGACGGTGGTGGCCGGTAGTCACTCACGTGCAGAAGGGCGCCGCAGCGCGCGCACCCATGGCATGCCAGGGTCAGGTCTGCGGCAGAGTATTTTGTGGTTCTTGCGGATCGCACTTTCGCGTCGCTCGCTTGAATCACCAGCAATTTGAAAAGTGTGATTGTAAAAAGTTTTGGCCTTGAGCTGGTGATATGTAGCGGAGACCGGGTAAAAGTGGCCACCCTAAGGCCTTCTATGGCGACGCTTAATTTTTAAAGTTGGCAAGATTATTTTCATACCAGTATGATCTCTATTAAACTGCGTTTTATTTCAATCGTTTCTAAAGGCGTTCACATATAAGAGATATTTGCTAAACTTCAAACCTATGAATTTTGGCCACTCTGCCCCAAAACCTGGGGCACCGGCGACTGCTTAGCAGTTAGCCCTGATTTAAGAAACAGGGTAGTTGCCTCATGTGCGATTAGGAATATATTTGATGGTGGTTTACGAGGATACATGTTCATTTAGTCAGCATCCCACTTGTAGGTAAACAAATAAATGACATTCACGGAAAACACTTGATTTGATCTTTTCGAAGTCATGTACCTAGCCGAAAAGTGGCCGAGGTGAGCGCACTACGATACAGTTCAATATCAATAAGGCTTGTTTTTCATGTGGAAACCATGTATGGAGTTTGGAGCTGTCCACTCCACTCTGCCCCGTCCACTTCGCCCCGCGCACACCCTTCGGGTCAAAAATATCCAGTCCTGTTATTATAGTTGGGCAAAACGCATTAAAGGGACCCTCCCACCTTAACATTAGATTTGAGTTGAGATAGCCAAAATGGGGTCCCTGGCTCACAATTACCGGTTTCGGCACTCACAACATCGAGAAATGCCTTAGTTCGGAAATATTGAATTTCAAAATTGCAGCATTTTGATTCAGAGGGGCTAATGCATAGGAATACCCCTCTGAATGTGTGAAGTCAGCGGACAGCGCAGATATCTAACGATTTTTAAATGTTTGACTAAAACGTTTGGTAGCACGCGGTGGTATATGCTGCTTTGCGCGCAACAAGTTGAAGTACCGCACTTTCAGCTGCCAAACTATTGCTTCCAAATAAAGTCGCTAGGAACAGCGGAGATCCCAAAAAGTAAACAAAAGTAAAAGTCTAATATCTTGAAAACCGGTGAACATTTTTCGGTGAAATTTGGTAGATATTCGTTTTCGCTTTTTCTGAACCGAGCGACATCACTTTCATGCCAATTCATAAACTTTTTTGAAGGTGGGAGGGTCCCTTTAACCTTCCAGGCGGTGGGGGGCATTTTTTGCCCCCCCCCCCCCTCAGTTTTCTTTTTCGATATATCTCCAGAACCGCTGCGCCGATCGTCATCAAACTTTCCGTCCCTCCCGTGAATAGCTTTTGCACATTGTGACCATTTTTTTTGTTTAAGGCTATGATAGGTTGGCCGCTAACGACGTTGGAGTGACGTCATTTCTGCCATTTTCGACCCAAAAAAGGTTTCGTGGGAAGAGCTGTCAGGCCTACAGCTTTAGAGACACAGAAAAATGTTTCAGTTATAAAAAGTGTAGAATTAACAGGGCTAAAAAAACTGCCTCTCGGATTTTTCAAATTTTTGGATTTTGACCCCTAGAAATAACATAAGACTTTTTTATATGATAGCAAAAAAAAAATCGAGACAATTTTTTGAATTTCGAAAAAAACGGAATATATGTGATAGTCCCTACCGCCGCAGCTTAATACCCGCTTAATACCTTAATACCCGCATTATTGGTACCACCCGCAGTGCAAGGCTGAATTCGCCAGCTCCGGGTAAAATTGTTTTCAGCGTACGGCCCGATGAGAAAATTTGCGACGCATTGGCTTTGACCAGCAGCCACTGTCCAATGAACATCAGCGCTGCTCTCTGCCGGCTGTGCCGCCGCCGCTCGGTGTCATTTGTCACTAGTCCGGCTGGAACTTCTCTAAGGAGTTGATAGAGCTCTCGGAGTGTCATTCGGTCCGGAGTGTCTTTCAGTCCGGAGTATCTTTCAGTCCGGAGTATCTTTCAGTCCGGAGTATCTTTCAGTCCGGAGTGTCATTTGGTCTGGCGTGTCTTTCAGTCCGGAGTATCTTTTAGTCCGGAGTGCCATTCGGTCCGGAGTGTCTTTCAGTCCGGAGTGTCTTTCAGTACGGAGTGCCATTCGGTCCGGAGTGTCTTCCAGTCCGGAAGTGCCATCGGTGCTCCTGTGACTCCCTCAGGGCGCAGTGACCTTACGAGACTTCAAGCATCGTGTCGGCGAGTCCTCCTCCACCCAACCAGGCAGGAATCGGCAGCCTAAATGGCCGCCACATTACGGCCCCTGACTATATTGGCAGGATTCGTACGGGTTCGAGCAATGTACTGTTACGGACATGAGTTCCCCGAATAGCTGTGCATATATCTGAATTTTCCATATGCTCTGCAGACCGATTAGGTACAACTTTAGACTTTAGTATTGATCATATGAACCTACCCGACTTAAAACGAAATTTCCCGGAAATAAGAAACAAAAACCTTGCAATGCAATCACGCAGCCATGGGAAAGCTGAACTCACGACACAGATCAAGCCAAACGTTAGCCGCGCATCCCCTGCGCTGGCGCGTAAGTCACGGAATGCACAGTCAGTCACGGAATGTACAGTCAGTCTGGAAAGTACGACGCACCGGTGCGGTGGATCCATCAACCCGGCTGAGGAAGGGCTGCTAAATTTGAGTCACCGGACCCATTGACCCATGGGGGATGCATGAGGATGTTAGTTGATTCAATGACACTCAAAGCTAACAGCCCGACCCAGATGGAGCCCAAAGGAGCCGATCAGTCTCAGCAGAGCTCGGCGCCCGTTCCCCGACCGAGGGAGCAGAGCTCGGCGCCCGTTCCCCGACCGAGGGAGCAGAGCTCGGCGCCCGTTCCCCGACCGAGGGAGCAGAGCTCGGCGCCCGTTCCCCGACCGAGGGAGCAGAGCTCGGCGCCCGTTCCCCGACCGAGGGAGCGGAGCTCGGCGCCCGTTCCCCGACCGAGGGAGCAGAGCTCGGCGCCCGTTCCCCGTCTACTGAGAGGAGCAGTGTCCGTTCCCCGTGTACCGAGAGGGGACCCAGGCCCAGCAGCAGTGTCCGTTCCCCGTGTACCGAGAGGGGACCCAGCAGCAGTGTCCGTTTCCCGTGTACCGAGAGGGGACCCAGCAGCAGTGTCCGTTCCCCGCGTAGGTACTGAGGGGGGCTGCAGAGCAGTGTCCGTTCCATGATAGCAATCAGTGCGGCCTATTGTGCAGATTCGGGACATGGCGCATGCCGGCAGCCCACCCGCAGTCAGTGCCGCCCTGGGCTTTTGCCAGACAACGTGACCGGTCGCTGTCAATTACAACACGATACCATTGTCCTGGACCTTTCTGACACGACACGGCGATCTGGCGAGGCATGCACGCTGCCCAAATGTGGCCCCTCGAGACGGATGGGGGGGGGGGCACTGCACGACGACGGCACATACGATCCAGTGGCCGGCAACAGGGCGATCACCTGTGACCATCCCACCATATGCCCTAAGGCGGCACTGACACCCAGGTCTGCTGACTGGTCTCTGCTCCGTCCGGCGCCCGTCGCTCAGCGGGGGCCGGGCCGCCGCTCTGGCTCCTGGCGCCCAGTGTGCGGAGCTGATCGGCCGGTCGGAGTGGCGCAGAGCCTGACACGGCTGCAGCGCACCGACTCGGGACAGGCTCGCGTGCCGCGCGCCGTCCAGCCCCGATCGCAGTCCCGCCCCCGGGATCGGCCGCACCCTCATACCTGCCGAATGTCGACTGCATGCGCTGCCTACTTTGGAGTTTTTGTTCTTTTAATGCATCCCCACTTTCAGTTATTTATAAACCAACCTTTGTAGTTATCCCGCGTCAGGCCAGCGGGGAGGGGGGGGGGGTAGGTGTTAACCCGCGCACCGACGGGGGGCCAAATATCCCCCCCCCCCCCTGAGGGTTTTCGTGAATAGCGGGAAAACCGCACCGTATCAGTATAGCGCCGCGAAATTTGGCATGACTATTCCTCCATCAATTTCACACATTGTTTACAAGTTTGAGCCTCCTACCTTTCAATGTCAAGTCACCAGGCCATTTTGAATGACCCGACCTCAAATCACTTTTTTGCAACTTTGTCACCGTGTCAGAGCTACAGTAGATGACGGAGTCTTTTGAAATTTGCAGAATGTTTTTTGATTTTCGAAAAAAGAAAACGGAAAATATGCGATTGTCCCTACCGCCTTCTATCAACATGCCATGTTTGAGATCGATGCCTCTTTTTGGCCAAGTTATAGGTACCTATAGCGAAAAATTGTTCAAAATTGATGACGTCAAATTTTCAAACTCAATCTTTTAGCAATTCTAGACCAAGCGCAAAAAAAGACCACCATTAGACTCGCCTTGGCGAGCTACATCAAATTAATACCCATTTTATGTAAAACTATCAACTTTGAAATTTGACCTTTTTGACCTGACATTGGCCTTAACTCCGCCAGAAAGTGACCTGAACCGCACCTGATGGTCTTATAGCCAACACCAAGGGCGGATCCAGGGTCATCTGAAGGGGGGGGGGGCAAATGCCCATTAGGTTTTTCGCTAGGATAGGGCCCGCGGAAACTAACCTACCCTCAAATCCTATTTTCTCCCCGGATTTCGGCCACTTTATTTTGTAAAGCTGCCAAAAATAAATTTCTTAAAAAAATCGCGTATCACTGACCATCAAGGCCGCGGGGGGAGGGAGGGAGGACCAACCTGGCTGCGCCCGTGCAAACACCAATCTGTGGGCTCTGCCCAACCGAACATCAAGTAGCGCCTTTTTTAACCCACGCCGGGGCTGGGGA